TTACATAAAGAAGTTCCATTGAATGGCAGTCAAAAAACCCAAACATAAAAAGAAACCTAGGAAGACTAGCAGCAATGAAGTTACTGAGTTAAATTGCTCCTGCTAAGCTAACAATCCAGTAATTTGAATTCCATTCCCTTTTGTTTGTGTGCAGGACCCATCCGTGCTGCCACAGATGAGGCTTGAAATTACACTGATACTAAACAGCACTTACCAAATGACCAACCGCAAGTTACCCTGAGCCACCACAGTACTGGTGCTGGCATTCATTCTGGCTCACAGGCCAAACTGGTTTATGTAAACATCCATTTGACTTGCTGGTCAGGCTCCACTCAATCTTAAGACCTACACTGTATCCCATTATCTTTAGAAAAACTGTTTCTACAAAAAAATGTTGACTAGTGATGACTGATGACTCATTTTAAGCACATTTAATGGAACAACTCGAGCACTTGGCATGCAAAACAGAATTCAATGATTTTGTAAACATGGTCCGTGGGAACATTATTTCAGAAACCCTTTGTTCAGTTGACCCTGTATTTGGAGTACTTAAGGAATCTCATGAGGTGAGCAAAACTTCAAGATGGCTCCAGTTAGAACATACTTTAAACTCTTTTAAATAGGAGATGACAGTCTTATCTACAGCAGATCAGCTGCTACACTTTACACAGTTAGATTTAGCTTCACCTTGGATAAGTAAGTCAAGTAGACACAACTGTTAAACCCTGAAGGAAACTAATGCCAAAAAAAAGTATAAGACAATTTTACTTTGTGTAAAATGAGTATGCAGGGAAAAAAAAACCCACTAAGTGCATAAATAAAAAGGACTTCCCAAGCCAGAAATGTATGCTAGACACGTTAACCTTCCCCCTTCTCCTTGAGTTCCTAACACAGACAGGGCACTGCCAGCCACACCTGGCTTTGATGACATCAACCTTCTAGAAATTTTGTCTTTGTCCTTAAAGCTGCATGGAACTTCACTAATTCCCTTTCCTCCTCTAGGAATGAAAGCAAAGTGCTACAAGCTAAAATGAGGAAACAACAGTAAAAAGAACTGGCCCTAAGAGCTGCACCATTTCAGGAGATGCTCTGAATACAAATTCAGAGAAACAAAACTTTGTAACATGCTTAGACAAAAAAAAGTCATCCGTAGAACAAGTCGACACTTGACCATAACTGAGAACTGCTCTGACAAGAAGTCAAAACTGAACTTGTCTCCGCATGATTCCTGTATTCAGGATCAGGAGGTTTAGATTGGATATTACAAAAAATTTCTTCACCAAAAGGGTTGTCAAGCATTGGGACAGGCTGCCTAGGGAAGTGGTTAAGTCACCAACCCTGGAGGTGTTTAAAAGACGTGTAGACAAGGTGCTTAGGGACATGGTTTAGTAGTGGACTTGGCAGTGCTAGGTTAACGGTTGGACTTGATGATCTTAAAGGCCTTTTCCAACCTAAACAATTCTATGATTCTATGATCTTTTTGACTTGGTCTATTTGAAATATTTAATATCAACATCATCTCAAATGAATGAAAAGCAAAAAAAGCTTCCTCCCTTTAGCACTTGAACACAGTATTATTACTCTTCTTTCAGTTTATGCTCCCCAACTCCTCAATACTTTCTATCCACGGCTAAATGAGACACAACCTGTGTTCATCACAGCCCAGTACACTTACTGCCTTCACCTCACCCAATCACTACCACTGAGACAAAAAAGTTGTCAATTTTGACTTCAATTTTCTCATAAGAAAGTCTCTGCTACCTTCTTTCACTGTTCAGTGCTTAACCAGCCGTGCTGTGGTGAAAAAAGTGTTCCATTAAAATAAGCCCTCATTTACAAAACATTCTACTAAAACCTCAAAAATATTTTGCAACTCTTTTCATAGAATCAAAGAATCATAAAATGGTTTGGGTTGGAAGGGACCTTAAAGATCATCTAGTTCCAAACTGGGCAGGGAGACCTTCCACTAGACCAGGTTGCTCAAAGCCCCGTCCAGCCTGGCCTTGGACACTTCTAGGGATGGGGCATCCACAACTTCTCTGGACAACCTGTTCCAGTGCCTCACCACCCTTATGGTGAAGAACTTCTTCCCTATAGCTAATCTAAATCTACCCTCTTGCCGTTTAAAGCCATTACCCCTTGTCCTATCACTACATGCCCTTGTAAAAAGTCCCTCTCCAGCTTTCTTGTAGGCCCCCTTCAGGTACTGGAAGGCTGCTACTATAAGGTCTCCCCAGAGCCTTCTCTTCTCCAGGCTGAACAACCCCAACTCTCTCAGCCTGTCTTCATAGGAGAGGTGCTCCAGCCCTTTGATCATCTTCGTGACCTTCCTCTGGACTCACTACAACAGGTCCATAACCTTCTCATGTTGGGGGCCCCAGAGCTGAACGCAATACTCCAGGTGGGGTCTCATGAGAGCGCAGCAGAGGGGGAGAATCCCCTCCCTCAACCTGCTGGTCACGCTTCTTTTGATGCAGCCCAGGATACGGTTGGCTTTCTGGGCTGCAAGCGCACATTGCCAGGTCATGTTGAGCTTCTCATCAATCACACCCCCAAGTCCTTCTCCTCAGGGCTACTGTCAATCCATTCTCCACCCAGCCTGTATTTGTGCTTGGGATTTCACCCCCCCAAGTCCTTCTCCTCAGGGCTACTGTCAATCCATTCTCCACCCAGCCTGTATTTGTGCTTGGGATTGTCCTGACCCATGTGCAGGACCTTGCACTTGGCCTTGTTGAACTTCATGAGGTTTGCACGCGCCCACCTCTCAAGCCTGTCCAGGTCCGTCTGGACGGCACCCCTTCCCTCCAGCACATCAACTGCACCACAGAGCTTGGTGTCATCAACAAACTTGCTGAGGGTGCACTCAACCCCAACGTCCATGTCACCAACAAACATGTTAAACAGCACTAGTCCCAATACCAACCCCTGAGGAACGCCGCTCGTCACTGGTCTCTGCTTGGACATTGAGCCGTTGACCGCAACGCGTTGC